TTCAGATAATATCACATCAGTTCACAAGAAATACAAGGAGTTTTATGAACACTGTGGTAAAAAAGCAGTTGCTTTAACAACATTTAGAAAAATCTGGAGTCATCACCTACCACACATTAAACTGACTTTCAATGAGTATACTGCAGCAGTAAAAAATCTGGCACCTTGCATCAGCAGGCAGGAATCAGAGCCTTATGCTGACAGGAGCCTTCAACATTCATCACTTAGCCAAGCTGGTCAGATACAAGTAGACAATCATGATACAAACACAGAAACCCAATCAATGGAGTCACAGACTGCCATATCTCGAAAGTCTCCAGTTAATTTGCCTCATGAATACAGAGATGCAGAGTTGCTTCATAATCAGATATTACCTTTAAACTTGTGTATACCAGATGGTGTTAATCATGATACTGTGCAATTCAGTAACCTGTTCTCTCAGACATCCATGCCCTTGACTCATATACGGATGGTTGCGGTCTGCAGTACTGCTCCAGCAACTGGTAATAATACCAGCTTGAAGACTGATGATACTCAAGATCAGACCTCTCTCAGAGGTAACCAAGATCCATCCTTCCCCTCTACTGTTAGCTCCCCCGTCAGACATGTGAATCCTGCAAACATCTTTAACCCACCCTCTGACAAAAATGCTGTCTTATTTAGGCATGGTGAAAATTCAGGCTATTTACAAATGGCACAGATGAACCAGAAAAAGCCCACAACAATGTATAACCATACCACTCTTACAACAAATGCTGATACTGATACTCATCAGGAATCTCCTAGCCTTGTTCAGTCAAGATTTGACAACTTTATCCCAGCAAATTCGGATGTCCTTATTTCAGTGAATATAATTTTTTTTTAAAGAAAACATACAAAGACTCAGTTCAGTTTCACATTTTATTCTATGGAGTGACCACATTCTTTTCATGTCACCTGGCTATGTTCATCATCATTGTCCAAGCCTTCTCTGTGTTCTGCATTTGCGGCTGAAAGAGCATTTGGCACCCTCTGTTTTTGGTTTACAGCTAGTCTGCAGTTTCTGCACCTTTCAGCCAAACACATCCGATTGCACCTAACCCATATTTTTGTTGTGTGCCTTTTACTACATGCTTGTTAGTACGCCATAGGTCTGTTCCCCCACCTTAACCCAAAAACAAAAAAAATTGGGCCCCCGAACCCACACTGAACAGCCTTCTGTAGTGCACATTATAATCACCTGTAAATTCTCATACAAATTGTCCTTCCATCCTTCCATGCCATGGTGTCTTAGCTTCTTTCTGTGCAATCTCCTGTATTAGATTCCTTCCAGTTTTCATTGTCTTAAAGTAAACATTTCAGTTTCTCTCCTCTCCATGATATTTCCAAACAATGTAAATTTTATTTTTCTGATACAAGTAACCAGTTCTCTTTGTAACTTGTTTCTTCTGTTTCTTTCATTACTATTTAAAACCATCCATGGTATTCTTACATTTTTTAAAAATAGAACCTTATTTACATAATTTCTAAGTAATTTTCATGCAATAGTAAAGTTAATTTGCAGTCAGCAAAGCATTCCTAAAGGCCAGTTTCTTTTTTTTTCGACATTAATTTCTATTACTATTTCATAACTTTATTAAATTTTAAAGTAAATGTTTTTAAAATGTATATTTGTTATTTTCTTCTTCTTCTTTGCGTTCACCAGCTGTAAACTCCGGTGGAAAGTACTGGTTGTTTGTCCACTTCTGGACTGCATTCCTGTTTTAGAACCTGAGTGTTGTGTGTGCATCCGTTTGACAGTTCTTGACTAATTTGTATGCATTCTGTTGGTTCCTTGCCTCTCAGGCAGATGCACTCCAACTTTGAAGGTAGCTCCAAATTAGTCGACTCTTACCACATGCTTTTGGGTAGGCAGTGGGTCTATTCTTATTTCCCTTTATTGGGGTCCCGGAACCCACACAGGGATTTTGTTGTTTTGTTATTATCAGAAATAAAAATCTGTGCATGTTATTATTTTCTGTAGTCATGATTTACACTCTCAAAGTCTAACAGTTTGTTAGTGTAATAATTTGTTAATGAAACTGTGAAGACTTTAATTTGCTTTAAAACATGTCTGTGGAAATTGAGAGTGATTATTATTGAGCTGATACAGAAAATAAACTAACACAGACTAAGAGGAGCTCAGCAAAAGAAAGACACATACAGAATGAAAAGTTAATGTATTGACCAGTTAATTTTAACTCCTTCATTACCTAGAAAACTTACAGTACAATAATTGATTACTCTTTGTAGCATGCACATTTCATAACACTTTCTTTTTTTTTTCTTCTGCTTCTGCTACGTTCATCCATTCTGTCTCAGTTGATGCTATAATTCTTTTGTCCCATGACTGTTTTTTAATTCGAAAAGACTAAAATGTGTTGAAGAAATAAATATGAAGGATAAAACCGTCGATAAAGGGAAAAAAATAAGAAATAGCTTAAAAAACACTGAAATCTCCCATTGCACCAGTAAGTAATCTGAATACCCAAATAAAATTTACAACAATGTAAACCGAAAGACCAAAAAATAGAGACAAAATGGGATTAACAAATGTAAATTTAGAAAGATGAGAGATAGGTAGGGGTGATATTTTAAACAATTACATATACATGTACTTCTGACAAGTGACTTGGCTAACAAATTTTGCAGCAGATAAAAATATTGTTGCCTGTTTATTGGCCTCGCTGATAATTTGGCTGACACATATTTTAGTGAGTGCATGCACTTACATAATATGGCTATGTTGTGAACCTAATTTTCTCACCAGTAATTTAATGGCTAATGAATTTGATTCTTAAACAAAATTTTTTTTTTCATGCAAGGTATCACTGCATATTCTTTTTTAAGTATAGTGTTTTTATTTTAAAATAAAAGTCTTTTTAAAGGAAGAAAATATTGTGAAAATTAATGTAAGCAAATGAACTTGAAAATAGAGTGGCAAAACATATACCAAAATAGCTACATGCACAGTTGAATGATTCCACAAGGATGTCAAAACCAATCAAGAGAAAAGAATCCACCTTTTCCATAGTTGTCAGTTGCTTGATTCTGGACATGTATTCGACAGATAGTGCTTTTACCAGACACCAAACAGGCGAATGCTGATTCTAGCCAAAGCTTTAACAATAAAAACGAACAACTCTCTCTTATGTCAACAGAAGGAATTCAATAAAGTTTTGAAGTTATCCTGGTAAGTCACATGAGTATCGTGAACTTCCAGCAATAAGACAAACATGAGGTATCGAGGAAAACAGTTTGTATTTTAGGGAAATTGATTCAGTTTTTGTGCTTAATTATATGTTGAGGTAACTATAGAAACACACCTGACCAGATAAAGTGAAATATACCTGGTAGTAAATTGTGCAATGTTCACATTATTCAAGCAAATGTATTTGATATCCAGGGTGTTGAATAAAACGACGTCAGTTATAGCTTATATTCAGATACACAGTTTATTCTTTCTTATAGCCCATACCATATGGTATTGGTAGTTTGTAGTCTGCATTTATGGAAACCTCCTTGAATTGGCATGGAATTCTCATGCTGTGTCCCTGCCTTCTCCTAATCGCTGACCAGCATTACATGGCCGCTCTGGACTGGTATGATGCGGGGCACCACCTGTGGACTACAAAGCAAAGATGACAAAACATCAGTGAAGCTTTGCAATTTGCAATGTCCTGCTAAACTAATAAGGAAGGCTTACCCAGGCAATAAATGTCTGAAAAGTTGGATGTGTCAGCCGAAAGGCACAAATATTGCAGTCATGCTGTAAAGGAGCACAATACAATATATGTCCTTTTGTAAATGCAGAAGAAAAAGAAGAGGAGGAAGAATCATGGCCTGTTTACATTCTAATATGCTCTTGCACATCTTGATGGTTTCTGAGCTTGGGTAAGGGAAAAGGAGCTCTACAACAGTGCTTTGTGGAGATAGTATTTTTAAACCGGGTCAGCAAGAAAAGTGTAACATTAGCCTCACTCCGATAGATGCAAGCTCTTGTTAGGCTTCAGACGATCTGAACATTAGTACTTTGTCTTGTCTTAACAGACCAAAATGAATCTTCCAGAGGATTCATCAACCATATCTCCATTAACCTGCATTCTGCAAACTCATTCAGCATATCCATCAAAGCTTATGTAAACTGACTTTTCATTTCTGTGATTTAAAGGTTAGGGAATGCATTTCACAATCTATTCCAGCATTCAATTTTCATGGCTGTTGGTTTTAAAAAAAAAGAAGACTTTTCTTGTTGTGTTTGGATGGTGGTACAAGAGCTGCACAGTGGAAACGATTAGGGTCCAACCATGTAATATTCCCATATAAAGCAGTGGATGCACATACCGACTGCAGCCAACCTCCACTGTGGAGATAGTACAATTAAAAATACTTTTTTAAATTTTTGAATGCCTAATGTAGATTAATGTAAGACAGCAGCAATTAAAAAAATATATGCAGTGCTTAATGTAGATTAATATAAGACAATAGCAGTTTAAAAAAAATCACAGTTCTTTTTAATCACGTGACAATGTTGAATCAAGTCAGCTATACAATATAATCTGATTAAATTAATTAGTTCAGCAGGACATATACTACACATGTCATACAGTTGGTGTTGGTCCATCTGCTTGAGCTCATAAATAGCCAGTTTAAATGTAGATAATGTAAGACATCAGCAGTTGAAACAATATTTAGAGTGCTTTGTGTAAATTAACGTAAGAAAACAGTAATTCAAACAAAATATTTAGAGTACCTAATGTAGATTAATAATACAGTAGCAATAAAAAAAAAACACATTTAGAGTGCTTAATGTTGGTAAGACAGCAGTAAAACATTTCAGATAAGATGTTTTCAATGAATTTTTTTTTAAATTAAAAAGTACCAAAGTATTACTAATAAAATATTTCCAAAATAAGCATCACAAATTGTTTGCAGCAATTTCAAAAGAGATTACTTATGCTTTTATTAAAAGTAGTTATCTGTTATTCTAACTGAGGTCTTTCCATCATGACAGCAAACTCCTTGTAGGTGACTGTTCCATCTTGTTTCTTGTCAGCGAAGTGAATCATCTCCTCTAGTTTCTCCTTAGAGATGTCTTCTCCCAACTCCTCAGCAACGGCCTGCAATAAGTCCGTTTTTTTTTTTAGCGTGGTTGTAACATGCAAACTGCTGTAACTTGGCATATAAAAATATTTATTTCAGTTGATGTATCTAATTTTAACTGCTGATTTTATTACTTCTTTTCTATACCCCCCTCATCAACCCCCTCCCCGCCCGCCCACTCCGCCCCCACCCCCATATTAATGTTAATCATTGTAGATTGTAATTGTCTATGCCATTGTCCTTTCCTTTGGCATTTTCATTTTGTATGCGGGTTTTCAGTTTCTTCTTCTGTCTCCATCTGTATAAAGGAGCTCCCTTTCTCAGCATGCCCCATTGCTTCAGCAAGCTCCAGTCTCAGCATGCCCCATGGCTTCAGCAAGCTCCCTATCTCTTCATCAGGCTCCCTATCTCTTCATCAGGCTCCCTATCTCAGCATGACCCATCTCTTCATCAGGCTCCCTTTCTCAGCATGCCCCATGGCTTCAGCAAGCTCCCTTTCTCAGCATGTTCCTTATCTTCAACAAGCTCCCTTTCTCAGCATGTTCCTTATCTTCAACAAGCTCCCTATCTGAGCTTGTCCCTTATTTTTAACAAGCTCCCTTTCTCAGCATGTTCCTTATCTTCAACAAGCTCCCTATCTGAGCTTGTCCCTTATTTTCAACAAGCTCTCTTTCTCAGCATGTTCCTTATCTTCAGCAAGTATTTGTCAGCATGTTCCTTATCTTCAACAAGCATTTGTCAGCATGTTTATTATCTTCAGCAAGCTCCCTTTCTGATCGTGTCCCTTATCTTCAACAAGCTCTCTTTCTCAGCATGTCTCTTATCTCCATCAAGCTCTCTTTCGCAGCATCTACCTTATCTATAGCAAAACATGTCACTTATCTTCAACAAGATCCCTTTCTCAGCATGTTCCTTATCTTGAACAAGCTCCCTTTCTCAGCATGTCTCTTATCTTCAACATGCTCCCTTTCTCAGCATGTACCGTATCTTCAGCAAGCTCCTTTGTCTCAGCATGTTCATTATCTTCAGCATGCCCTTTATCTTAACCAAGCTCCCTTTCTCAGCATGACCCTTATCTTCATCAAGCTCCTTTTCTCAGCACTCCCTTATTTTTCAACAAAACTCCCTTTCCCAGCTTGTCCTTTATCTTCAGCAAGCTCCCTTTCTCAGCATGTCCCATCTCTTCAGCATGCTCCCTTTCTCAGCATGACCCCATATCTTCATCAGGCTCCCTTTCTCAGCATGCCCCATCTCTTCATCAAGCTCCTTTTCTCAGCAAGCTCCCCATCTCTTTATCGTGGCTCATTATCTCAGCATGTCCATCTCTTTATCAACAAGCTCCCTTTCTCAGCATGACCCATCTCTTAATCAAGCTCCTTTCTCAGCATGAGCCATCTCTTCATTTTTCTCCCTTTCTCAGATGCCTGTTTCTCTTCATCTTAAGCTCCATTTCTCAGCAGTCTGTTATGCTCGATATTCATCAAGCTCCCTTTCTCAGCATGTTGTTCTCTTCATCAAGCTCCCTTTCTCAGGCATGACCCATCTCTTCATCAAGCTCCCCTAGTATGACCCTTACCTCTTCATCAAGCTCCCTTTCTCAGCATGCCCCATCTCTTCCCTCCCTTTTCTCAGCATGACCCATCTCTTCATCAAGCTCCCTTTCTCAGCATGACCCATCTCTTCATCAGGCTCCCTATCTCAGCATGACCCATCTCTTCATCAAGCTCCCTTTCTCAGCATGACCCATCTCTTCATCAAGCTCCCTATCTCAGCATGACCCATCTCTTCATCAAGCTCCCTATCTCAGCCTGACCCATCTCTTCATCAAGCTCCCTATCTCAGCATGACCCATCTCTTCATCAAGCTCCCTATCTCAGCATGACCCATCTCTTCATCAAGCTCCCTATCTCAGCATGACCCATCTCTTCATCAAGCTCCCTTTCTCAGCATGACCCATCTCTTCATCAAGCTCCCTTTCTCAGCATGACCCATCTCTTCATCAAGCTCCCTTTCTCAGCATGACCCATCTCTTCATCAAGCTCCCTTTCTCAGCATGACCCATCTCTTCATCAAGCTCCCTTTCTCAGCATGACCCATCTCTTCATCAAAATCCCTATCTCAGCATGACCCATCTCTTCATCAAGCTCCCTTTCTCGGCATATCACTTATCTGCAACAAGCTCCCTTTCTCATCATATCACTTATTTGCAACAAGCTCCCTATCTGAGCTTGTCCCTTATTTTTAACAAGCTCCCTTTCTCAGCATGTTCCTTATCTTCAACAAGCTCCCTATCTGAGCTTGTCCCTTATTTTTAACAAGCTCCCTTTCTCAGCATGTTCCTTATCTTCAACAAGCTCCCTATCTGAGCTTGTCCCTTATTTTTAACAAGCTCCCTTTCTCAGCATGTTCCTTATCTTCAACAAGCTCCCTATCTGAGCTTGTCCCTTATTTTCAACAAGCTCTCTTTCTCAGCATGTTCCTTATCTTCAGCAAGTATTTGTCAGCATGTTCCTTATCTTCAACAAGCATTTGTCAGCATGTTTATTATCTTCAACAAGCTCCCTTTCTGATCGTGTCCCTTATCTTCAACAAGCTCTCTTTCTCAGCATGTCTCTTATCTCCATCAAGCTCTCTTTCGCAGCATCTCCCTTATCTATAGCAAAACATGTCCCTTATCTTGAACAAGCTCCCTTTCTCAGCATGTCTCTTATCTTGAACAAGCTCCCTTTCTCAGCATGTCTCTTATCTTCAACAAGCTCCCTTTCTCAGCATGTCTCTTATCTTGAACAAGCTCCCTTTCTCAGCATGTCTCTTATCTTCAACATGCTCCCTTTCTCAGCATGTACCTTATCTTTAACATGCTCCCTTTCTCAGCATGTACCTTATCTTCAGCAAGCTCCTTTGTCTCAGCATGTTCATTATCTTCAGCAAGCTCCTTTGTCTCAGCATGTTCATTATCTTCAGCATGCCCTTTATCTTAACCAAGCTCCCTTTCTCAGCATGACCCTTATCTTCATCAAGCTCTTTTTCTCAGCACATCCCTTATTTTCAACAAACTCTCTTTCCCAGCTTGTCCTTTATCTTCAGCAAGCTCCCTTTCTGAACATAACATGTCCCTTATCTTCAACATGCTCCCTTTTTCAGCATGTCCCTTATCTTCAACATGCTCCCTTTCTCAACATGTACCTTATCTTCAACAAGCTCCTTAACTTCAACAAGCTCCTTTGTCTCAGCGTGTTCATTATCTTCAGCATGTCCTTTATCTTAACCATCAACAAGCTCCCTTTCGCAGCATGTTCATTTTCTTAAACAAGCTCCTTATCTTTATGAATGTGCAGCCAACTGTTTTCCTTTTCTTTCTCTATCTTTAGATGCCTGTTTTGGAGACCAACTTAAGCGACATTGACTCTCCAGTCTGTTAAGCTGTTCGATATTTTGATAGAGTTGACGTTGTTGATGTTGTTATTTGTTGTTGAGCTGTTTAAGTCTTCAGGGTACATGACTTCTTTTCATATTCCCCCTAGTATGTCCCCTTACCTACAGACTTCCTACTTTGTCGTTCCTTTTCTACCTTGAGGTGTAGAGATTTGTCAGAGAGATCGCCAGACGTTTCTGTTAGCAGTTTTCTTTCTGGCTTTGTTCAATTCCAGTTCTCTGTCAGTCAGGGACTGTCGGATGGTGTCTTTTCAGTGGACCCTGGATCGCCCTGGAGGTCTGGTTTTTCTGCCATGGTGGCCCATTTTCTCCCATTTTACATACATGTCCAAATCATGGTAACTGTGGCTGGTCCACTAGAGTTTTAAAGGCCTGAGTTTCAAGATCTTGACACATTGTCTGACTGCGAATAGTATTTTCCCACTCGAAGCAAATTTTTCAATCCCAACTCTTTTGTTAATCCTCCTCTTCTTCTTCATTTCCCCAGTTACATCATCGAAGTATTCGTTCTAAAACATTGTATAAGATGGTTATCATTTCTTTAAGGCTGTTCTTGATGCCGCAATTCCATCTGGTGCATGGTCTTCCCCCCTACCTGTTGTCCATTACATTTCTTAAGCCTGGCTCTCTGTGACAGTTAACACCAAGGCATTCTCACTAGATGACCAGATCATCTTATCTGTTGCTCTTTAATAAACTGGTTTAAGTCCCAGTCTTCTCATTTCTAATGTTATCTTTTGTTGATATTTACCACAAATTGAATTCGCTATAGTTGCATCGTCTATTGATAGTTATACCTTACCATCTCCATCTCTTCCTTTACTTTCTCTCTCTCAGACACACATATGCACAAGCGCTCTCCCCCCTCTCTCTCTCTCTCTCTCTCGCGCGCGCGCGCTCTCCCCTGTCTCAGACACACATCTGCACAAGCGTTCTTTCTCTCTCGCTCTCCCCTGTCTTAGACACACATCTGCACAAGCGTTCTCTCTCTCTCTCTCTCTCTCTCTAGCTCTCCCCTGTCTCAGACACACATCTGCACAAGCGTTCTCTCTCTCTCTCTCTCCCCTGTCTCAGACACACATCTGCACAAGCGCTGTCTCTCTCTTTCTCTCTCTAGCTCTCCCCTGTCTCAGACACACATCTGCACAAGCGTTCTCTCTCTCTCTCCCCCCTGTCTCAGACACACATCTGCACAAGCGCTGTCTCTCTCTCACTCTCCCCTGTCTCAGACACACATCTGCACAAGCGCTGTCTCTCTCTCGCTCTCCCCTGTCTCAGACACACATCTGCACAAGCGCTGTCTCTCTCTCTCTCTCTCTCTCTCTCTCTCTCTCTCTCTCTCTCTCTCTCGCTCGCTCTCCCCTGCTTCAGACACACATCTGCACAAGCTATCTCTCTTTCTCTCTCTCTTTTCTCTCTCTCTCTCTCTCTCTCTCTCTCTCGCTCTCCCCTGTCTCAGACACACATCTGCACAAGTGTTCTCTCTCTCTTTCTCTCTCTCTCTCCCCTGTCTCAGACACACATCTGCACAAGCGCACTCTCGCATACATGCACACACATATATGTAAATTTTCTTTGTTACGATAGTGGTATGAGACATGCCAACATCTTTTTAATTTACCACCAAGTCATCCAGTACGATAACGCCTCTGTCTGAGCTGAATATCTTGAAGGCTTTGATAATATCATCTTTAGTATCATCCCTGGTCATGACGAAGTTCATCAGGTTGTAGAAGTCCTTGAAATCGAGCGTTTCGTTAACAGCACGCCCGGTAATTGTCACTTGGCAAAAAAAGGACAACGAAATGAGAATTGTATTGTTACGAATGTATACGCAAACAACAGTGTTCTTACGAATGTATACGCAAACCACAGTGTTCTTACATATGTTTACACAAACAAAATCTAGTTCTTTAATATTGTATCAGGGCTTTTCCCCCCTGTTGGTTGGCAACGGTATGTAATACCGGCACCTTTCTTTTAATGCAGCATATTTTCAGCGCTACAGAACCAACAATTTGTGGTGAATACAAAAAAAAAAGGGGGGGGGGGGGGGGCGTCTAGTGTACGTAAACAAACTAATGTTCTAACCCCAGACACTCAGTACTCAAAATACCACACAACCGAGGAACATACTTGACTATCTATCCCGTTCTTCGACTTGGTACTAAACTGTCTCAGTTTTAACTATGACGACAGGACAGTATATAAATAAATAGAGACATTGAAAAGTGCTTTATACGAAGCGAACAGAAGGGTCCGTTCCGGAGATCTCTTCCTGCCCTGACGCTGTGAAGCATTCCAAGGGTATAGAAAAGAAGAAGAAGAAGAAGTACATACATAAATAAACTGCACTTCGTTATCCCAAATCGGTACATTTGATCTCTTTTCAGACCGACATATGATTTATCGCACTAAGCTTAAAATGTATTTTATCTTTACAAACACACACACTCAGACACACGCACACATACACTTATATTAGTAATACTGTTTCTGCGTTCACCCGAAGATGCAAATGCGCTGTGTGTATTGCATGGCTGCGATATTTGCCCCTTTCGGACGACATATCCGACTTCTGCAGCTATTTGTTGACCGGGCTAACCTTCCCGAATATTAGTATTACGAAACACATATACACACAATTTAAGACTGGCGAATCAGCCATGTGTACCTGTGGACTGGCACATAAGAGAATAGATCACATCCTCCAAGACTGTCCCAGATACAACGTTTCCAGACAAAACTTCTGACCAAAAGAGACACTAATGGAAGCCAAACTTTACGGGCCGCTAAGTGAATTACAAAAGACAATAAAGATCTTACTAGAGACAGCATTGCAGATATTGATATTTTATTTCAAGCGAACGAAAGAAGGAGAAGTATTACGTAAACAGAGATGTGGATTCTGAGAAGAATGCAGAGAATATCAGGGAATGATAGAAACACAACTGAGGTAGTCCATCGTGAGGCAGATAAAGTGGTAAACTGATTAGAACAATTAGAAGTATATAGTCTGTGTTTTTCAGACACTAAATGATAAGGAATCGACTCGAGAACTCGGTAACAACTGGCAAGACTGGTGGAGAGAGAGTAAAGGGAAGACAAAAGGAAAATAGCTTGATAGCTTGGTTACGTGGATGCGGACCTCGTCTGTGATTCTGATGAACGTGCGAGATAGCGAAACATGACAGAATACGTTCGCCGGCACGGCACAAGCTGATAATGAGATAATGAATACGAAAGGCAGACGTTATGGTCCTTACTTATAAGATCATCCACTTCCGTAAACGTTGGCTCCATGCCCAGAGCTCGAAGAACCAGCATAAATCCACGCTGCTCTATCAGCCCGCTGCCCCTGGGATCAAAAATGCCGAATGCTTTACTGAGATCCAACTTCTGTGTTTCTGTGAGCTCCGGTCGGGCGCCATATTTCTTCGGTGGCAGCTCAGTTTCTAGATATTTGCCTTTAGATGGTCTTCCTTTCGAAAATAGTCGGCCCAGTGGCATCTTCGTGATTCTGGTAATAGAAAAGGGGGAGATTTTACAGGACGTTGCAGAACCAACCTCAGCACTTTCTGGCTGTTGTGGTTTTTCTAGGCAAATTTACATCCAGTAGTTTTCCATTGCTTACTGGACGGTCGGCTCATGGTACCACGGTCGAAACCATTGCAAGACAAACCGTCCGCAGCATGGATCGAACCCGACATTACGAACCGCGTTCGCAACGCCAAGCCACAGACGCCGACAGAAAAGAGGGAAACATAACCAAAATTGTAATGCCATATATTTTTTTCCTTGGCCGCTTGTCTCGAATTGATTTTGAGCATCAAAAATAACAGTCTCTCTTTTTTTTTTTTTTTTTTTAATAGTTTAATGTATTTGGCGTCGCTTATATAAAAAAAAAAATTGTTACCCAGCTGTTTGAGTTTTCTCTAGTTTTTTTTTCAAAGTTCTCTGCCTCTCTAGATTCCCCAAAGAGAAGCAAATTTAAAAACAGAATAATAATATGGAAAATACATAAAAGACGCCGCATGAGATAGCCAACAGTGTTAAGTTAGGTGGGGAGTTCATAAAAGATGCTGCACGAGGCAGCTAACAACAGTAAGAACCCTACAAGTGAGCATGCACAGCAGGGGTCCACCGATCATCAGTAGAAAGGTCCCTCGTCGACGATTGTTTCCCGGAATGTAGACAGACCTGGTTCATGTAGCTGGGCCTCGGAAATCCCCTGCTGTACTTCATCGGACGTTCGGACAAGGACAAGACGAAATGGTGACTTTGCAACATGTATTATGAGATTTGGTGTTATATATATATGTGTGTTGCTGCCGTAACAAATTAGCCGCCTATCTTCACGAACAGAGTGACAAGCTTACGGTCGGTTCATCGGACAGACGTTAGACTTTGGCAATTGGCAGAGACAGGCAGACATTCATCGGACACTTTAGCTTTCAGGGATGAAATGCTTTTTTTCCCACTAGGGACTCTGACCAGTCTACCGAGGCCCATCCCCCACGACTGTCCGTTGCGTCCAAAGCTAGCTCTTTCCGCAGTTTCCCTCAATTGTTTTAGCATCCGTTTACGCTAATTCCTCGCAAGCCGAGGTGTTTCAGTACATTGTATGTGGAAGTGGAGAAGAGTTCTTTATAAAGGTCTTTCTTGGCCTGCCACTTATCCTCTACTGAACTCTGCATTAATGTAACTGAGAGGTCGTTAGACCTTATTACATACGTACCATTGCCTATTCCGACTTTTCACTATGGTTAAAAGAGGTTCATGTTTAACAGTGTGCTGGGTATATTACACGGCGAACCTATTTATTTAGGATATCTTCTCAGTATCTTCTTCGTCTTTTTCACGTTCACCGGCTGTAAACTCCGGCAGAAATTGCTGGTTGTTCGTCCACTTTTGGACTGTAGTCCTGTTCCAAAAACTGAGCGTTGCATGCACATCCGTTTTGCAGGTCTCACTTATTTTTATGCAGACTGTTGGTTTCTTGCTTTTCAGGCAGGTGTACTCAGACTTCGAAGGAAACTCCAAATTAGTCGACTCTTACGACATGCTTTTAGGCAGTCATTTGGTCTATCCTTGTTTTTCCCCACAATGGAGCCCTGGAACCCACGGGGATCAGGTCTCAGTATAATATGCAATGTATTTTTCTGAAAGATCGCGTTTCCAATGCTTGATTCTTCTTTTCGAGTTCAACTGTTAAAAGTCCACCTTTTACAGTAATGTGTAAACGTACTAATAGCTTGTGCCTTGCATATGCTCAATCGAAGACGATTTGAATATGGTATGTTGAAATAAAAATCGACATCACAGCACTCGCGACATTCCCATAAGCGCTCTATCCACCATCTTGAGCAAGCGTATGGTTCCACTTCCGATGGCACAGATAACTGACTGATTATATATATATAGCCTATATGTCTCTCATTTCCTTTTAGTGTTGACCGCCCGCCAGATTCCCTGGTCACTTCTCGCAGCAACAGTCACCTCAGGTCGCAATGGTCTGTTTGTTTCTCCGCATTGTTTATTCCTCCCAAAAAAAAAAAAAACCTAGAAACACTTGCATTAATCACCATCAAGTGCACAATCAGCCAGCCTACCTGCCTGTTGGTTTTCCAACATACTGGCAATATTTGGAGAGAATATCCAAGGACGCTACTACCTGGGGCCCTCTAAAGCAATGCTTGCATTTCTGTAGGTCGCATAACTGTCTCCACTTTTCTCAGCATTCTCTGTGAGTCAGTTACAGTTGCAGCACGTGTGTGTAGCTGACTCTCAAACCTGTGGAAGGCTACAGTGACAGCCTTCACATCCATTCTCAAACTAGATGTTGTGTTATCATATGATAGACGTCGTTGCACTAAGCGACGTCAAACGCTTTTGTTTAGCTTCAAAGTGAATTTTGCTTCTGACAGCGTTTTGCAAAAGGAGTTTCCACAAATGGACAGAAATCGACGGCTTCGCTGCCTGAGCTACTGAGTTTAGTGCTTGGTGTAGCCATGTGTTCTTCGCATGGAATGCCTTTCATTTGTGCAGGGATTGTGTCGTTGTATTCAATATAGCTGATAGTCGGTTTAAGTGTGGGCGGGTGAGATACCTTAAGTAATAATTTTACATGTGTATAGTTTACTTATTGTGACCGAGTACTTCCATCAAGAATAAACTGCATTTACGGTGGCAACTGTTGGCCTTGGCGCCTCTAGCAACTGCCATGTGCATTTACTGTGTGTGTATATTTCTAGCTTATACTGAATACATTTTTTGTTTTCCAGTTTTTCAAATATGACAGTGAAGAACATTTCATTTGATTTTCACTGCCACAGGAACGGAGCAAGTATGGGGTGACCCAACTGCAAAGAAGCTGAAACCTCGACAAAGACTGAGAAGAAGAAGATCGTAACATGGAACAGTTTAGTCAAAAGCATTGGTATAAAAGGAGCCGAGAGACATTAGAAAGATCAGCCTGACATAAAAATACTCTGCCTTTGTACAGTGACGATAGAAACGACATATGTTAGGCTTACATACACAAATTTGAGGTAGGTCAAATTTTCAGATCATCTACGAAAGACCGAATGGCGTCGGCGTGTGTTCACTTCTGCAACAAAAAAGTACACGACTGTGCTTTACGGGAATTGCAAACGAAACTGTCTTTAGGACAACAAAACGTTTATCGTGTTGTGCCGTCCATTTCGCTCTATTCTGTACAATGCTTTCAATTTCGTGGAAAGCCTCCAGTCCAGCACTTTTATCCAGTCTCGACAACGTCCTTCTTATGGCTATTCTTGGACGTCCTCGTTTCTTCGGTCCATTCGCTTCCCAATCCAGTTGGTGTTCTTTGTTTCTCCTATAATTTTTTCATTGTTCATTTAAAGGTCATCTTCATCGCACATCGCACATGACCATAAGTGCCCCGATCTCCCCCTGAGTATGAGCTAACAACTTCCATTTTGTTCTGGCTAATGTAACGACGGATGGCTCCTACGCGGTTTTCTGTCTTGCTGCTCCAATGGTTACACCCAGGGTACGCAGTCTTTTCAACTCATCATTTTTCACGAAACTCAAAGCGTTAAACCTCTCGTATGGCATTAATGGTATCCCTCCTGTCCATAGACGGTCCATTCCTGATAGTGGCACTGCAAGCCAGAGCGTCTGCTCCCTCATTCCCTTTCACATCAGCATGCCCTGGGACAAAAATAAACGTGATTTTGTGAAATGCTGCGTGCTGAATCAAATGGAGCCACTGTTTCCGTATATGTCCAGCACTGATCTTCTGTAGCTGAAAAAGCATGCATTGGTGAATTCTGGAATTTTCAGCCATTCTAGGGTCTTTATCACAGCCATGGCCTCCATTGTGGCGCTGCTGGTGGTAGAAGCAAAGGCCCCACTGACTTCTTTGATTTACCCTTTAGTTGTTGTCACGAAAGCCCATGCACATCAGGGTAATAACCACCACAAAAGTACTACTTTCCTCTCCACGGTTTATGGCGTGAAGGGAAATCACCCGTTGAAGTTATGTCTCTGCGCGGCTCAACCAAGACTGGCCTCGTTCAAGTCTGTTGCCTTTACGGGTATGCAGCCCATCGTGCAGTGGATGTGTAAAGACCTTAGTGATTTTGAGGTGGGTACACGCTTTCAAGCCTGGTGTTGATGTCTGGAAAATCTAGTAGGCATCTCATTGCTCTATATGATTCTCTTTGGTGCCGCCAAGTATGATGCGCATGGCTTCACTTTGTATCTTCTCCAGTCCGTTAATTTGTGTCTTGCTGAATGCGATGATTGTCAGTTCATTTTCTATGACACAGAGGATCAAACTGTTAAAAGATAACAGTGTTTGTTGACCTCACATGGCAACCATAACTCTCATTGTAGCGAAACCAATCTGGCCTACTTGATGATAGTTTCAAAGTGGAATCTACAGCTAAGGCTTCAAACAAAACTCACTACCAGGTATTTTAATAGTTCAGTCCTTGTTATCTCTTCTAAATTCACTTGCAAAGAGGGAATTATTCTGTGTACTATGCGACTGTTCAAAGTAACCTAAGTTGCAGTCGCTTTTGCAGGGTTAATCTGTGCGCCCCTCCTCTCCCACTCCCGTTGTGCTGACTAGTAATTGCTTTGAAAAGCAGGTTGAATAGGCTGCTAGCCAAGTATATACCCACACTCCATGGCCCCACTCTGAGGCAAAGTGATCAAGCCATTTGCCGTGCGCTCTGAAGGTTGCGTCATTCGGTTCAGAAGTGTAATTCCCTTGGGGAATGTCGTTAGAGCTGCAGTTTCATACTTTATGTAAAACTCTCGGCAGGCAGTTAGCTGTTCTGTGGAGAGAGACTGAGCCATATGGGAAAAAAACCTGGTGCAATGAAGTCGATCCTCTCGACTTTACTATTAATCTTTTACATACAGATTTTCATCGGTGTTAGAGAATTTGTGCACTGTGCTGAGATTGTTCTTGTGAAACCTACACAAGGAGACTTGAGCACTTTTGGAGATACTATCTGTGTTAAATAATAGTGATAAAATAGCCCCAGTCTCAGTCTCTTGTGTAATACTTCTTCTTCGTTTGTCCAATGACTTACTTCTTTGTGCCTGTTTACAGAATAAATGCAATATTTGCACAGATTAGACAACATATTCAACTTATTTAGGCATTAGTTGTTTGGGTTTGCCTTCCTTGTTTTTTTCTGGTGTGACTGAGATTTAAAAACAAACAAAAAATGAGACACAATATGTTTTTTCAAAAAATAGTACCCAACACCAGTTAATGCTTATATTTGTATTTAATGATCACTCTCTTCTAATACTTCACATACTCTTTATTAATCTTAAATCCTTCTTTTTCCTAATTTATCTTCTTTTTCTGCCTTCTTTCCCCCAATGGAGCATAGGCGCCCAATCAACTCATGCCAAGTTGTTCTATCATTTGCTACTGCATGCAGTATATTTGTAACTTCACTCTCTAGTGAAGTAGCCAGCGCGTTGAAACTGACCAGATTTTGATGTCGCCAGTGTATTGAACTGAGTGCATGGTTTCTTCTTCCTAGCAAATACTGTATTAACAACTTTAGAGACAAGCACACAGTTTTATTTTAGAGCCTATAATAAAAATTGTTGGAGCCATGGTAGCACAAAGGCTAGACACTTGCCTGCCGAACTGAAAGTCTTGTGATCGAATCCACATAAGCATTAACTTTTATAACTAATCCTGACTCCATGGTTGACCAAGCCTGAAACTGGTACCAGGAGATATCTAGGAAAGTAAAGGCAGTTGGCTTGTTCATCACATTATCCATGGATGACAATTGGGCTATAAAAAGTCTTGCTCATGTGTGCTTGTGGCGTGAAAAAGGTAATTTTCTTTACTATAATATTTATTTATCCATATGCAACACAGATTTTGAAAAACCATTAATTATACATGGATATAGTAAACATTACAACTCCCGGTCTCTTACAAGATATGCCTGGCCAAAAATAGAAGGAAATAGATTCAGGAAGGACATAAGGCAAAATACTATGGAGACTCAACCAGACGAAGGATGACCCAGGAGGCAAAACCATCAGTAAGCTAAGGGAAACAGAAACTCTTTGGGACACAGACTGGAAGGAACAGTCTACCTTTTAGGTAAGGGACACAAAGCCAACATGCAGGCACATATGAAAACTTAGCCAAACACTTGGTGCGAATACACCAGACCAAAAATATAACTGGAGACTGCAATTACAACCCTTTACTTAGGGAAATAAAAAGTTGTCTGGTATGTAATTAACATTTATAAAAGAACTAAAGACAAACAACATAATAACATAACACTTTAAACAAATCATGTCACTTGTATATTTCACAAATAGCTTTTCCCCCGTTCACTGTACCATCCTGGGAAGTTTCCAAAAGAAACACAACCCTTTAATCAGCTGAAAAGAAAAGAAAAGTCAGTACATTTGTAGTAGCCAATTTTGTCAAAATTTAATGAGGCATTCTATGCAGAAACTTGTGCTAAAAGACTTCAGATTTGTCGACAGAGTGATGGTTACTGACATGTCCTATGTGGCATATTAGTACTTGGTTACTGACATGTCCTATGTGGCATATTAGTACTTGGTTACTGACATGTCCTATGTGGCATATTAGTACTGACAACTCGCACTAGCACAAACAAAAGTGAAAGTAGGATAAGTAGGGTAAATAATACAATCATCTCCTCGTATGGGTTCTGGGATACAATTTTTTTTTTGGGGGGGGGGGGGGGGGGGAATAAAATAGATGGTGCCTCCCTGACAAACATGTCGTAAAAGGTGACTAATTAGGGATTTCCCCCTTGAAGTCAGAACAGGAGCGCATCTGCTTAAGCGGTGAGAAACACAAACAGGCTGCATACAGGTAAGCCAGATCTGTAAAATGGATGCGCATGCAAAATTCAAGTTTTGGAACAACCAGAACCAGAGTGTACAGCCACTGAATGCTAAGAAGAGGACATAATCATTATCAACATCATCAAGTGCCATGATAAGATGCCATCTTTTCCACACACAAAACTGCAGCTGACACCAGAATTATATGGCCAGGTGTTCCAATTACAGGTTCCTTGGAGCTTGAACAGGATGTCTGAGATTTGTCTCGTAGGCTTGCCATCCAAAATGAGATTCTGTAGTCTCAGACTGTCTAAACTGCAGGTGTCAGCCGGAGGAGGGAGGGGGTGTGGGGAAAGAGAGGAGGAGTGGGGGGTCAGGAAAGGACAGGAGTTGTTCATAGTTGCAATTTTACTTCCCCACATCATCTGATCTCTTTCAGCATGTGCATATGAAGGATTACGCTTTATACATTGATTTTTTAAAATGTATGTTGAATTTTTGTTATTAAGTGATGCGGCAGCCAGAATGTGGAAACAGAAACATTTGTGAATCAGCTCTCTTTTTTGTAACATACAAATATTTCCCAGTATAACCAGAAAACAAATGATGATAGGAAGATATAAAGACAATTTAGAAATAAAATTTAAAAAACAACACCCTGAGACAAACAGAGGAATTTAAGTATTTGGGAGCCATTTTCACATCTGATGGAAAACTGGTCAGAGAAATTAGCTCCAGATGTGCCAAAGCTAATCAAGTAATGGGGCAACTAACTTCCCTGTTGACACACAAGCAGATACCTCAGAGTACTAAAGTGAATCTTATCAGAACTATTTTTTGGCCAATACTGTGCTATCAATGCCAAACGTTGAGAAAAATGCATATGGCAATAAGAACAGCTTACAGTCATCAAAGAACATCATCTTAAGAGTGCCACACTAAAACGTTACATTTACCCCCGAGGTATAGAGCGAGTGGAAGAAGTCAGAAAATATGAGTTGATGGCATTAATTAGAGACAGCCTTACAGAAATGAACATCAGTCTTAATAGTGCTCCTGACAGAGCTCATCAACGAACATTACATCTTCCCCCGAGGAGGTACAAAGTGGAAGAGAAGAAGAAGTAGAAGAAGAAGAACCAGAAAACAAATCTGTTGAAAATATGATGAATGACAGCTATAATTAGAGACAAATAATTTTAATAATAATCATAATTAGAATAATTTTACTAAATGAAACCTCCCACATTAGGTTTCAATCTCTAAATAATGAGAACCAACCCCCTTGCCCTGAGAACACTAAAAAACAGGCCAAGATCACCCCACCGGAATACAAGAAAAAAATCCTTAAAATAAAACAAATTTACATAGATCACTATCAAACTGTTAAAAATGTTTTCATCTACACTATTGTAATTCCCCCTTTCCCCCATAAAATATATACAAATATATAAAGGTAGCAATTAATAAACATAAACAATGTTAAGCATTAACACTTTGCTGACCAACAATCTGGAGCAATTACTGTCTCCCATTACCAAGGGTGTTTGAAGATTTTTGTAAAAATGACTGCTTTTCTAATAAAATTCACTAAAAATTTTTTTAAGGCGTAGGGTATTGAAACTTTCGGAGGCCCATTAGGAATGGTTGCTACACAAACAAACAAAAAAGTTATGCAAATATGTCAAATGATCATGGCGGCCATCTTGGATTTGTTTGGCTATTTATAGAAATTTCAGGAGATGTTTTAAAACTGTCATCTTTTTCCACTTTTTGGTGAATTTGTTTAACTTCAATGCAATAAAATGTTGGGGACATGGTTGGCAATGAATAAAATTAGCTTTGTATGAGAACTGTTTTAATGATTAACCAAATATTTCAACATTAAAATGAAACACAAATTGAATAAACTAAAAAAAATTGTATGTTTTCTTTCTTGTGTTTATTTATGTGGCATGTTACAATGAGGATTTGTGAATGTTTGATTACAAAAACACCTCTAACCTCTAGCTAAAGTCTGAGTTACTTCATTCATTCACTGAAGTTGAAGCTGTAGAACTCTGCAAAAGTCTTTGTCAGGAATGTTAATCCTCAACTGTATGGTATAGCTTGAAACAGGGTGTCAAGCATAGAGGTGTATTGCAATCTGGGCAGTACATGCAAGTCTGGCTCCTTTTACCTGCAGCCTTACACACTTTACAGTCTGGTTTGTACTTTGGCTTTTCATATTTTTCAATAAAATGGCGTTCGGTAAGTCGTGATGTTGTGACTTGTGGTCTAGAAGGTATTACGTTGTGCCGAAGAACAGCAGGTCCGATAAAAGCAAGACTGACATCCTGCCTGAACTTCTTTGCTGTTATCTTATTTATAGAGTTGACAGTGTTGTAGCTTATATGCCCATTGACAAGATCAGTTTCAACTTAAAAAAATTATACAATGGCACGTACCATTTATAAGATCTGTGTGGGTATGGGTAGTTTGCAGCAAGTTGGCCGAAGTGATCGACACCACCCATACTTTTGTTGTATTTTTCAGCCAGAACAGGCTTGTTGATAATTCTGCCCTCAGGAACTCCCCTTTTTCTAACCGTCTTATCCATGACATCATTGGAGTGAACAGTAGAAATTAGGTTAACTCTCTTGGTATCGTGCCAGGTAACGGCCAACATGCTTTTATCTTCTGTTACACAAAACACAGGATTATCTGCCTTTTTCAGTTTTAGCTGCTTTTTCTTTAACATCTCAGGAAAATGCTTCCTTCTTTCAGACACTGTGCTACATGCACCAATCTGAATTTCTTTTAGCTCTTGAAATAAAGCTGGGCTTGAATAAAAACTGTCACAGTACAGAATATGACCTTTATATTCGTATCCGTCAAGAAGGCGTTTTACCAGTGTGGAAGTCGTCCCGACACAACCTTCATTATTTGCCTTACCAGTATAAATCTCTAGTTTTAAACAATACTGAGTTTTAGCATCGGTAAGCACAAATAATTTAAATCCCCACTTGGTAGGCTTTGCTGGCAGGTACTGCTTAAAATATATTCTGCCTTTGAACCGCACCATTGATTCATCTATGGATAACTCACATCCAGGTGTGTAGTTTTCCCTGTATGTAGGCAATATGATGTCTAGTAGGGACCTGAGTTTGAACAAGGGATCATACCCAGGCTGTCCTCTTTCATTTCTGACATCATTATTGTTGAAATACAGATTTCTGTGAAGCAGCTGGTATCTGTTTCGACTCATGGCCCTCGAATATGCTGTTTCATTCAGACAAAAATTCTTAGACCAGTAGTCTGAAACTGCCGGTTTACAGCACATTCCCATACCAATGTGAAGGAAAATAAATGCAGAAATTTCAACTGCATCAGTGTTATCCCAAGTGAGTTTTTTGTACTTGGCACTTCCAGTGTACTGAGACAGGTGATTTTCACCATACCTGTTGACTTCACGTGTGATCAAATCTATGGCAGTGTCTAGGGACTACAGTTTCGACAATTTGCGATCTTTTCGGCAATTTCCGTTACCCGGAAACCGTTCAGAACTTGTTCGGGAAATCTCGGCTGGTTTCCGGATGGGTCCAAATCTCATGAAAATTCGTGATTGGTGGGAATTTGGACCAGCTATAAATAGCTGGAAACAGCGTGGGGGAACCCGATTAACAGCGCATGTCTACGACAGCCGGACTCCTCTGTTTTTCTGTTAGTCATCAGTTTGATTGAAAATAGCGGTAAATTCGAGGTTGGCTTTAGGCCTTAAACATTACCAGTTGTGGTAATGCTAGTTACAGTTGAATTCTCCATCCAATTTTACATTTGCATAAATAAATTTCTTTCCCGACTTTCGCTGTTTAGATTTACAGTGACATTTTTTAGGCAATCGCATGCGGCTGAGTCTCACTGCCTGCCATCTTGTCCAATGACAGTCCAATGTCAACAAAGCCGATACAGAACTGCGCAGTAGGTTGCGCAGTGAAAAACTTCTTGTTTCTGGGTCACAAGTTTTAGCGGCTGTTTCTTACATCTCATCTCCACAAAAACCTACACATCTCAGCTCAGAAATGACATACAAGCCTAAATGAGGTACCATTGGAAAGAGATTGTTTACAGCTATCTAAATGTGCTGGTTTTATTGGTGTAGAGGGCATTTTAAAAATTTGACTGAAGTACCTACAGTGTCAGGGGAAAAAATGTGTCTGACATAACACCTTGTTGTTCTTGGTATGGAGGAAGACTGTCAATCTCAACAAGTTCATTTTCAGCAGCCTTTCTCCATTTCAAAACTACATTTTCAGCTGTAGATATATTCTGGTCTCTTGTGCCACGCCCACTTCTATCAACAGAAGTGCCTACATCACCTGCCTCATCAAGTCCATCATCGCTATCGCTACTTTCAGTTGCGATATTGTCCAATGGTGCATCTCTACTAAGCCAGGAATCATCGCTTTCAGCACCACAATCACTTGCAGAGTCAGAATCGTCTCTGCTACAGGTCTGGGTTTCATCATCAGACTTGATGAAAAGGCTGTATACGCACTTGACACAAAAATTAACAAAATTTCACTGAACAAAACGCTTGTAATGACTCTAATCGATATGAATCGAAAGGACAGCCATCTTGGAACAATTAGAATACCCGGATGCAGTTTAATTCAAAAACTATCGGTAGGGACGTCGGTCGGCAGACTACAAGTCGCTAATTCGACGATAGTCGAAGTTGGTCACCAGGGGATATGGCCGGAAATTCGTAGATCGTCGAAGTTGGTCAGCAAATGATTAAACAGAATACCTTCCCTGGGACTTGAAAAATGCATGTATCACGTGAACACATTCTGTGACCTCGTGACCTCTATAACTTATGACTAACAAGAAAATTTAATGTCGACTCAGCTTTAAAAAATCTATTTGGCTCAAGGGACTCCCCTCCTCTCCCACAGACACAGTCCAATGCTATTTTTAGCTAATGTTTTCATCCCTAACTTCTTGAAGAGCAGGAGCTAACTCAGCCAATAGTATTATTAATACTATTAACTATGCATCACGTAAACAGGTCACTACAGAAATGTTGAGAAAAGTTGCAAATTTGGGAAATTGGACCCAGCCGGAAGTGTCAGTTTTGCTGTTCCTTGGGCTGAAAGGGTTCATTAAGGTATATTTTTTATATACGTCAAGCCTATCCCCCCAACCATACATATCATAATATGGGTTGCCTGATACTGAATATGTTGGGCTGAAAGATACAGATATTGCCGCTGAGCTGTAAACCACAACACAACGTTCCAGCTGTCCTTTCAAGGGCGAACACAAAATAAAAATAAAAATTCAGGAATGTGTAACTAAAGTGCGTAATAACTGACGGTGAAAAGACTGTTAACAAACTTTTAATAAAACATAAGAAAATAACTATTTACCTTTTCTATAGGCATATTCTAATGCACTTGATATAGTCCTCATGTCAGTTTCAATACTTTTTGCCCAGTTCTCCACATCACCTATTTCCTAAAACAGAAACAAAACACATACATAAAATTCTACATATATCTTTTCTTACACACACAGACACACATGTATACATGCACACACATGTTGAGAGAAGAGAGCGAGGTGTCAAACAAAGTGTATGTCCTTTTTTGAAGCATTTCTGGGATGAAAGAATTATGCAAAACTGAAAAAATATGTGTTTTTTTTTTTCAATGTTTGAAATGCTTTAATGTTTTAATAGGTGTTTAAAATAACAAAAAAACAGAAGGTAACAACCTTGAGAGCAGTATTAAAATCCTCAACAAGTTTCAGCCACTGCATTGTCTGCTTGGAGAACTGGGCTGCGTTGGCCTGAAGAATGCGTGTTTCTGTATCAAGCTTCTTCTGGTTAACGTACGCCTGTGCTACTCTAGAAAACCAAAATAATTCATATCTATATTATTGCAATATTTTTTAGGCATTTTATAAAATAAAGAACATCTTGTGCAATATATCCTTGTCATTGAGAGTAAGAAAAAGAATTCTTGCTTGCTATATACATCCAGTTTTAACATATGGCTGTGAATCCTGGACAATTGGTAGGCAGGCCAAACAATTTCTTGAGGCCTCAGAGATGTGGCTTTACAAAAAAATGCTTAGAATACCTTGGACAGCCAAAAAGAGCAACCAAGAGGTTTTGAAAGAGGCGGGAGTCACAAGCCAAGAGCCCGAAGACAACTTATCACAGACATCAGGAGACAGACATCATTTTTCGGCCATGTTATGAGAAGAGGGAAAATAGAACATGTTGTGACCACTGGAAAGATCTGTGGAAAGAGGGATAGAGGAAGACAACGAGAGAAGATGCTTGACAGTCTTGTTGCATGGCATGGAGGTGTGTCGGCACACAAACTGATACAAGCTGCAGGAGATTGCAGATTATGGAGAGGCATGATCGCCCACGCCAGTCGGCAAGGCACCTGATGATTACAAAATAATTTACTGCACCTATTCTAAACTCTTTGTCCACATTTAACAAAATGCACTGTTACATAATTTTTATTGTAAATTGTGTCATTCTTACTTGCTTCATCTTATTTCTATATAAATAAACTTTCTTCTTCTTCTTCGCGTTTACCAGCAGTAAACTCTGGCAGAAAGTTCTGGTTGTTTTTTAACTTCTAGACCTCAGTCCTGTTCCAAAACTTTAGTGCTGTGTATGCATCCATTTGACAGATCTGATTAATTTGTATGCAGACTGTTCGTTCCTTGCCTCTCAGGCAGGTGTACTCCGACTTTAAAGGAAGCTGCCAATTAGTAGACTTTTAAGACATGCATTTGGATAGGCAAGCAAAGAATAGTGACACTGCACCCTACCAGGCATGTCGTAAGAGGCGACTAAGGGCAGGGTTGGGCTTGAGGTTGGCTACCTCATCCTGTAAAAACCATAGCCACAAAAACCAACCAACCATGGATAAGTCAAAAAGAATGGCGAAGGATAGAACGACTTGGCGTGAGTTGGTAGAGGGCCTATGCTCTATTGGGGGATAGAAAGGCAGAAGAAGAAGAAGAATTTGGATAGGCAATGGGTCTATTCTTGTTTTCCCTATAGCACGGCCCTGGAACCCACACGGGGAAAATAAACATTCAAAATACTATTTATGTTTATGATATATAGCCTACATCCAATTTCCTACACTGTTATCTTAAACACAAGAATTTTTTTCACTTAGTTTGGAACAACAAGCTTACTTCCAAAATATTTTTTTGTCTTCTCTTTATTCTTCATGTTCACCAGCTGTAAACTCCAGCAGAAAGTTCTGGTTGTTCCTCCACTTCTCGACTTTAGTCTTGTTTCGGAACTTGAGTTTTGCATGCACATCTATTTCACAGATCTGGCTTATTTGAATGCAGACTGCTTATTCCTCGACTCTCAGGCAGATGTGCTCCAACTTCCAAGGAAAGTTTTATGACACGCTTGTATGGGGGAAAGGGAGGGGGTGGGGTGGTTGGGTCTATACCCCCCTCCCCCCAATAATGGGTCGCCAGGACTCACATGAGGAAAATATAATCTAAATACTGCATGCACAACATATGGGACAGATAAGCTCTGTGTGTGTGTGTGGTTGTGTGTATGTGCGTGTGTGCACATGTGTGTAGAATAAAAAAAGTAATGTTATGCACATTCTGAAAAACTGTCACTAATGCATTAATAACGGTTAATTAGTCATTTACCCAGCATTCAAATGGTCAACCAAAACATGAGACAGTGCGGTAGCTGCAACCACTGCATCTTTTTTGCGTTTTTCTGAAGAAGTAAAAAACACTTTGAAAATAATTCTTCTGCACCATGTATAATATGGCCAATGTATAATTTTGAATGATCTAGAAATTATGAGGCCAGATCAAATAAAACCTGTCCAACAGCTTTTTAAAAAATATACAAAAATTATATTAGCAGGTGTGACTGACTCAAAAAGCATGTTGAGGAAGGTCAGGACAGGCATGCTTCGTGTAGAGTGGCAATCTTTGTGCAGAGGGGTATGCTTCACTTCGGAGGTCATGGGTAAAGAGTATTGTGTGGATCTTTTACCCGGGTTATGTTAGCGTGCTGGAAAATTAACAGATGGACAGATTGACTGGCTCTACACAACTTGGTGGAATAATCATGATAAGGCAGCCATGGTTAAGGTCTTATGGGAGCACATACTGTACAATTCAGAACAGCAAATTTATCATCACAGTCTGGTGAGAGTGATGCAGTGAGGATTGACAAGGGGACCTGGCTGATACTCGACGCTCAAAGGAAAGGCAAGATGGACAAATAATCAGACTACTACTAGCACCATTAGTATTGGAATTCTGTGCTGGCTGCTTAAGATGGGGGCAGAGCGCTTATGGGAATGTCCTGAGTGCTATGATATCGGTTCTTTAATAAACTTCAAACAAAGTCAGCTTTTGGTCAAAACTGAGGATAGACCTGGTCACTGTTTTTAGTCGTAGCAAATTTTTTTGCATTTGATAGATAGTGGCCATTGCATTTGCCTCCATTGGTAGAAGGAAAGGATATAGTTGTGTCGCCCAGCTACTGAGCTGAGATTATGGTGCAGCACTGTGAGCTGCAACAGATTTATTTCATTTTGAATGTTTTTCGGCTGTGATCAGTGTGGTGTTGTGAACTGTAGATTCAGAACATGGCGAGTGGCTTTTTGCAGCAAAATTTGTGGTGCCTAGAATTATTTGCATATGCAACTGCTGTTTTGTTTGTTACTCAAAGTAACTGCCGCTTTCGTCGATGATGAACTGCATTTCTCGAACTATTTGATTACTATTACTTTTTCAAAATAATATTAGTATTTCAAGTCAACTCATTTCCATATATTTTATTACCTTGGAGCTCCTTGCGGGTTTGCTGTCTAGACTGGTGTTGTTTTACTAGATTAGACAACATGATTACAGTCCATCTACCTCATTCGGAAGATATGAATGGGCGTTCACAAATCAGAACTTCCTTTGATAGACAACAATGATGGAAGCAAATTAATCTGTGGAAATAGTAAACAGCAGTGTTGCCACTTTTCTTTGACAAAAAATATCCTAAACGGTGTCAAAAAATATCTAAAAAGATCTAAATCTGCGTGAAAAAGATCTAGAAAAAACATCCAAATTTAAAAAGTCAAAAATTACATAGCTTTTGTTAAGACTTACCCTACATAATCATGTCCTCACCTTCACTGATGTCTGCCTCACAAGATCCACAGGACAAACTTAGCTTGGATAATGAAGTTGAAGCTTCATATCCAAAATGACCCTGGTATGCTTTAGCTGTTCAATTTTTTTTTATAAGTGGAACAGTAGGTTTATTTCTCTAGTCTCATCAGGCCGAATTTTAATGGCACGATAGCATTTAAGAGGTCTATTTCTTTCTACGTCAGCATTTGAGTAGGTTAGTATCATGGCAGACATGGCACTCTAAAGAGCTTACAGAATGGTCTATTTGATGAGGCATCTTTAAATTGTCTCACTTCAATCGCTGAGGCATTATCAGTACCAATTACAGCCAAATTCTTCAAGCCCAACTGTTTGCTGATTAAAAGGTCCTTCAGTTCCTAAACTATACTTTCTACATCACACTTTTCAAATTGAACTAGTCAAAGATTTTTTACAAATCGATCAAATGGTCACAGTTTGAAATTGTGCAGTGACAAATTAAAAACATTGCGACTGATACTTCAACTTGTGATGATTCTTTATCAGCATAGTGGAAATTTCTGGCTCTCCTGCCTCAAGAAAACAATGTTGGCAGTAGTTGCCAGGTAAGCTTTGTATAAAGCCGGCTCAACTTACATTTGATCAGACATACAGTACCGTTTCGTCCTTTCTAGGATGACATTTTTTGTTATTTAAATCCCCACCCTGGCTTTTGCCAGGGACCGCAATATAGGCAGGCCATACATATGGCCAATTGTCTGAACGCGGTTTCTGGGACCTCTCCACGGCGATCCTCATCCACATGGTGGTACTTTGTGTTTATCGCTTGTGTGCTGTCCTGGTGGGGTAGAAAGTCAGTCAGTCATTTGATTAGAATTGACATTCTTTGTTTCGAAAGTAGCGCAAATAAATCAGACCACAAATATAACCGGAGATTGTTGCAGGTTCGGCTAGCTAACAGCAGGTTGAACGTGGTCGAACTTTTTTTTGTAAAACGAAATCGTAACGGAAATTTTTTTCAACATCTGCGACCGGGTCGCCCATTGGCTGACCGGTAGACAACTTTGTCACTGGTTGCGACAGTATGTAGATCTGTCTCTTTGATAACATCAGTTGTTAAAAATTTTTCGATATTTTGAAGCCCTACCCTGGCTTTAGCCGGGGGCCGTAATTTAACCTAACGGTTGCACGCGGTTTCTGTTACCTCTCCACGGGTAACCTCATCCGCATGGTGGCACGTTGTGTCACCGGGTGTTTATCTCTCTGTGTGATGTCCTGGTGGGGTACAATTTACTGACTTACTTAATTATAGCATCAACACCACAAGGGTCCTTTCCATGGCTACTTGTGGCGAGCAATGCTAAGCTATTTTGTATGGCGCAAATAACCTAGCCACGATTATAATCTAAAGCTCCCCCTTCTGGGATGCTAGTTAAACGTGACAATTTTTTCTCTTCAAAGCTGATGATGATGATTCTTTGCCCGTTACATCAATGATGCACCATTTTCTTCCTTGCTCAGTTTGTTACAAACCCCTTGTGGCAGCTAACAGACGGCGCAGGTAATATCTGTGAGCATTAACTTTGATATCATCAAAGCATTTATTGTTGAAGTCTTCAAAGAAGAGCGATTTAAAAACAAAAACAGATGTTATTACTGTTAAACAAAGAACACATTTTTCTGCAGCTGCATACGAACGATATAATGCCAACAGGCAAAAGAAGAAGCATACATTTTTATTCTTATGGAAAGCGATTTTCATCTCCACACATTTCTTCATAATTTCTAAACCAGAATGTTTCTTATGTAGTAGTAGTAGTAGTAGTAGTAGTAGTAGTAGTAGTAGTAGTAGTAGTAGTAGTAGTAGTAGTAGTAGTAGTAGTAGTAGTAGTAGTAGTAGTAGTAGTAGTAGTAGTAGTAGTAGTAGTAGTAGTAGTAGTAGTAGTAGTAGTAGTAGTAGTAGTAGTAGTAGTAGTAGTAGTAATTATTCAATAATGTCCTGTGTAACCCTCACGGTTATAATTGGGATACATAATATTATTTGAGTTCTCCGAATATATTTATGTGTATTTTTTTAATTTATATATCATATTTCTTCTGCTATTTAATTTTTTGGGGCCTTCTAGCCCCCAACTGAGCACAGGCCGTCAACCAATTACGTCAATTCGTTCCATTCTTCGCCATATCCTTCCCCATCTTTTTAATTTCACTCTCAAGCTTCCTTTGTGTATTTTGTTGGTCTGTCTTTATTCATGTGCCCCTGTGGGTTCCAGTGCAACGACATTCTAGTTATATTGTTCTCTCCCCGTGTGGGTTCCATGACTCGATTGTGGGGAAAACAATCAGAATAAACTCCACAGGGAAGCATGTACAGCAGGAGTCTACCAATCATCAGTAGACGTAACCTCTCATCGACAAATGTTTCGGCCCACGAGCTCCTATACATTTTCAGAGAGTGGGCCCACCTGAGTTCATGAAGCTCAGGGTTGGTTTCTCCTGCTGCACGTATTACCGGATGTTATTCGGACAGGGACAAGACGAATTGGTGATTTTGCAAAAGATACTGTGAGATAAGAAGTCGTCGCGGTAGCATAATTAAAAGCAGTCTGCATACCTGAACGACCGAGTGGCAAGCTTACGATTGGTTAATCGGACACATGTTGGACTTTGTTGGCAGGTGGCAGAGGGACACTGGCAGACAATTCGGACACGATGGACTTTAAGGGATAAGTCATTCTTTTCCACTAGACACCCGCACCAGCTCACCGAGGTCGTTCCCCCACGTTGTTCCGTTGTGTCCAGGGCCAGCTCGAGGCTAAGTGTCTGTTTGTGTTCATTACCTCGTAAGCCTAGTTGTTTAATCACATTGTAGAGTGAAGTGGAAACGAGACCTCTTGCGCCTACTTCGACGGTGAAGATTCTTACTGTGTACGACTCAAGAGACATTTCTCGAGCTTAAGACATTATTTCATAACGGCACGGTCAGCTCAAGAGGACACGCCGCAGGTGGAACTATGTCAGGTCAGGCCGGTCTTCCGGTCAGGGTACTTCATGGCCACTGTCGTGGAATGATAAGACCCTTTCAGTTCGTAAGGCTGGTAACCTGACTTACCCGTATCGCAGCAAACACTCGTTCCGAAGATATAGATCGATTAGCCTTCATTTGACAACATCTGGGCCTTTAACAACAATCATTCATTCATCATCAGACCATGTCCCTCGCGGATCTCTGCCAATGTTTCACGTGAGTCCGTCTGTACACCCATCTATAGTCGCGAGTTGCGTTCCCATTTCCATTATTGTTCTCTCTAGGATTTCCATGACTTTCATGAGCCTAGTTGTTTACGCATCATTCATTTTGTAGAGTGTAATCCCATTTATGCTCTGTTTTCCCTTGTTTATGGGCGCAAAGGAAAACTCTCAATGGGAAAGATGCGCTTAAAAATCTGACCTGTTTGTACTTCGAGTCAGGTGAAGATTCGCCATTTAATTCTATTGTGTACACCTTCGTGATGTGACCCAAGATATTCCTCTTGACCACTTAACATATATTTCCTTCTCCATGGCAGTTTCTGTTTGTACATGCATTATCTTTGGCATGCTATTGTTAAGAATAAGTTCACTAGAGGACTTTATTTGAGGTTTTTAGAAACCGATGCACTCTTGCCTTATACATACAAGGAATTGTCTAAGTCCATTCTTGCCGGACCAGACGGTCAACTATGCCTGGAATACATTTCACTTTCACACAGGCGATCTGGAATGTCTCAGTTGTTGCATATGCTTGGGACGTTAATTATAGTTTACGAGTACCGTCTGTAAAGTAGTCACTGCTGTAGAGAGACACTAGTTCGTACCGTTCTTGATCGCTAGAGAAGCGGAGTCGAACGTAGACCCTCCCTGTACAGACTAAATAGCCTATGCCTTAAATACCCCACTCATACTGGTAAACTTAAAACCTTACAAGTGTGTACTATTTAAATTGGCAACAGAAGTTTGTGCATACAAAATGGGGACAGAATTAGGTCAGGACTTTGTCGGCCAGTGTATAGGTGTGTTTGACCCAGATCAATGGATGGTAAGACGGGCTTTTGGGGAGTGTAAGGAATGAAGGTACTGACAGTAAATATTGGTGTCTGTGTGTAGAGGGGAGGGGAGAGAGAAAGAGTGATATATGTGTTAGAACACTCTATCTATCTCCACTGTATATCTGACTTGCCTTCTCTTGCACTAAACAGACAGATGAATATAAGGGACTTGTGTCTCTTGGTCTGGAAAGGCATTCTGAGGAATGAAACAGGAGAGCAGGGTGGAGTAAGCAGATGGGGGATGATGACTGATGCTTGTTCTGTCTTTCCTGTCAAGATGTTACCCTCTTGGTGATGACTAATTCTGAGTTATTTCTTGACAGGATGTATCCTTTGTGAGGAGCTGGCAGAAGTTTCACAGTCCAACCAACACCCACCAACCATAAACCAACCATAAACTAACTACCCACCAGCTAACACCTGTGAAGGTTCCTGGCATCATCAATATGCTGGAGCTCATAACCCAAACAGACTACCAGTACTAGAGCTTAGTATAGCTCAAAGACCTTGTATGTCCTAACTGGTGATAGAGACTTGCTAAGTACCAGTACAGTGCTGTGTCCTCTATGGTGAGGTACTCTCTTACTACTTGATCCAGTGGAGCAGAATTCCCAGAGTCAAAGACAGTCGAATCATCCGGAGTGGAGGGAGG